TGATGCTTTAACCCACATGGCAGTACTTTGTAAAGTCAGCCCTGCCAGAATCTCCTAACACATCACTTTCTGTGATGAGTTCAAGGCGCAGGGCATGTTTCTTTCAGCTTTGCTTCACCTTTATGGAGCATGTACCTTTCACGCCCACAGTAGGGTCCTTTATGTGTCCCAAAGGCCCTTTGATAGCTGTTTTGCCATTCAAGATAACATCATGTCAGCATTTGCAAGTGAAAACATAACAGACCAGACTAGAGAACAGTGGAGACAGACGTCTGGAGAGCTGGAAACGTTCTCTAGCATACTTCTCAGTACAGTCCATTCCGGATTGCTCCCCATTTTGTAGGTGGGGAAATTGAGGCACATAGAGGTTAAGTGATTTGCTGGAAATCTCTGGCTGTGGAGACAGCTGGCAGCCAGGCTTATAAACCTGGTGTTCACGCCACTCTCCCATAGTGCCTGTGTTATGTTGTTTTCTAGAGAATTAAAATGAGACTAGAAACAAATATGTTCAGACAGATCAGAATCTAATCACCATTCAAAGCTAAAAATTTCTAAGAGCTATAATTTTCTTTTATAATTGCAAGAAACTTCATAGTAATGAAAGGAGTCTAGCAGGTTATCATGTTCATTCTAGACAAGTCCTGCCCAATAGTGCTTTTTGTGGTGATGGAAACATTGCACACCTGTGCTGTTCAGTACAGTCGCTGCTTCTGCGTCTCCTGACCACTTGAATGTGGCTCACGCAACTGGGGGAATAAGTTTTTAACTGTATTTAACTGTACTTACTTTAAACGTAGATCCCCCCATGTACCCACATGGCTACTGTTTTGGACAGCACAGTTCTACACTTCTCAGTACTTTCTTGATTTCTCTACTTGGATGTCTCCAAGTTAACAAGGTCAAATCAGAATTCTTGATTTTCTTTCTTCTCTCAACCCATTTCTCTCCCCAGTGAAGCCATCACTGACTCAGTTGCTGGAACCAAAACCTGTGTGTCATCTCAGCCTCTTCCTCTCCCTCATCTCCCATATCCACTTCATCAGTAGGAACTAATTGTTTTACCTCCAGAACCTATACTGAATCCATCCATTTCTCTCCATCTCTACTGCTACCATCCTAGGCCAAGGTACCATCATATCTCATCTGCACAACTGAGTGGCTTCAGAGTTGGTCACCATTGACCCGTCCATCCTCTGTTGCTTCTTCCAGACTCCTCCCTGAAGCTGCCAGAGAGGCACTGATCTGCATTTCAGTAGGTTGCATCTCTCCCTGCTCATAGGAAAGAATTTGTAGAACTTAACACAGTTGGGAGTTCTCCTGTAGACTTCTTTATATACTTGTTTATTTTCTACCTCCTGTTACAATGTAAGGGCCGCTCTATCAGGAAGCTCACTTACCTCATTCGTGGCTGTATCTCCAGCATGTAGCAACTGTGCCTGATTAAATCACTGTTTATCGTGGAAGGAGATGAGAAAGCAAGAGTCAAAATGGAGATTTATAATTTGGTTGTTAATATCTGAAAGGATGCTGACATCTGTACTCACGGGAAGTGGGTGGTTTCTTTAACATTCTGGGTGCAGGCAGCTGAAGGACGGGTGTTCTGCTAACTGCGTTTATCTGTGAGTCGGTAGTCTGACCCACGGTCCTGATGCAGCCTCTGGCGTGAGTCAGAAGCTCTGTTTCTCCCTCGAGGGCTGTGTATGTCCCAGATCTTGAAACTTTGTCTTTCCCTCGTTAGAGAAAGAGGAGAATGTCCTCCTGCAAGGACTTTTTATATCCATCCAAGGGGAGTTTAGACCATGATGGAAAGAAACATATTACAGAACTCCAGGATAGAAAAGGGCACAGCCATGTCTGAACAGCACAAGGAGATTCTCAACATGAAGCTGTTGTTAAATAAGTAACTATATATCTATATATATATATATATAGAGAGAGAGAGAGAGAATATAAATATATATTTGGAATATACTCACAGCCAGTTATTTGAAACTAAAGAAAACTTTAGGAAATGGTTCTATGTCCTTTTTTATTTATTTTTTTTTTGAATATTGCATTTTTTAAAGGAAAGTGCCTTTTCTGGCATCTCTTTCTGGTGGCCAGCCAAGGCTTTTAGAGGCCATGTTATTACTTAAATCCCTGAGCAAAGTAAAATGAAACTGACCGACTTGTTGGCGATCTGGTCGAGTTGGCCACGCTCTGAGTCGCTTCTGCTCCCTCTCGTACTAAACTAGGAAAGCACCATTCCCTCAGCGCTGGCTAAATTTAAAAGATGAAGTTGAAGCTTGCTTTGTTTGAGCGCTTATTTGGAGACTTTCTCCTGGTGTGTTTAGGCCCAAGTTTGTTGCCCTGTCCCCTGTCCTTCGACTGCTGTGCCAGTGTTTTCTTGGGTGGGCCTTTATTTAACATCTGCTGTATACCAATCACCTTGCAAGGCTCTGGAAAGACAAAGGTGAGTTAGACACATTCTCAACCTTCAGAGAGTCTGCCAATAAGTGGGCAGAGGGACCAGTAAATGAAAAACTGAAATATAGGAGCCTTGGATTAACAGAGGGAAGTACACGGGCAGTGAGAGTAGAAAGCAGTGGAACAGAGTGGGAGGCGGGCACGGTGTGGCGCTGGAACCAGGCTGTCCGGGTTCTCAGTCTGGCCCCACCACTTATAAGCTGCGTGACCATAGGCTACTTATGCCTCAATTTGCCCACCTGCTAAATGGGGTAGTGAAAGAACCCATTTCAGATGGTTACTGAGAGGATGAAAGGAGCACATAAAGCCTGGCACACAGCTGTACAAAAACCAGCCTGCCTTACTATCAGCGGGAGGAGTAGTACATGCCGATCGATTGAACTGAGTGAATACTGCTTTACTACTGTTGTTGCAGAGAGCTTGGCCCTCAACCAGCCCAGGGAGTTCACAGAGGCTCCCTGGAAGTGGTGGTTTTTGAATTGAGACTTGAGGGCAGGCTGATACTGTAGGGAAAGGACATGTTTGACAGTAAGAACAGAATCTGCAAGGCACAGAGGAGTGAGAGTTGGGGGGGTGACATTTAGGGACCCATAAATAGGTTTATGTGGATAAAGGACAAGGTGCCAGTGAGAGAGTGCCCAGGAGGGGGCAGGCACGAGATCACTGGGGCTTTGGAGACTGGGCTAAGGAACTTGGACTTGATTCTACAACCTAGAGAGAGCCACCGACAGATTTTCAGCGGGTTCAGGGCTCCCCAGGGGAGAGTGGGAGGCAGCATCCCCTGTGGCCTCAGCCCATGGACTGTTGATTCTAAATGGCCACCCTGACTGACCTCCTTCCCTAGAATTTGAGCAGAGAATCTGTGTGTGTGTGTATCTGATTTTGCTCATTGGGTGTGATTTCTGTGGAGGTCACAGATTTAATAAAGTAAAAGGATATGTTTTCTTAATTCCTTTTTACCTGATTCTTCCTCTTCCTCCCTGCCCCTGCCAAGACAGATCCAGAGATGTCCATCTTACAGACACGTTTGAGAATAAGATAAAAGTGATAGATTCTTCCCTCAGAAAAATCACAGACACGATTTTGCAAAGAGCCCACATTAACCTCCCCCTGCACCCTCATCTTGATCCTCCAGACAGGCCCCCCGAGACCATGCAGTCTTCTTGACCCCAGGCTTGCCTGTGGTTTTTGTGTTCCCACTCCAAATTACTTTAAATTTAATTTGCTAGCGCACCCCATAACTCTTCCATCTGCCATCACTGCTATTATCTGACCATGTATCATGGGAGCAGCCTTGGATCACTTGATGGTTATAATTAAAACTGAAAGTAATTGTCCTATTTTGAGCCACTCAGATTTAATTGAGAGTATGGTGGCTGAGGGCATGGGCTCTGGAGGCAGACTACATAGATCAGAATCCCAGCTCTGTCAAGGTCTTACAACCTCAAGTAAGTTACTTAACTTCTCTGCGCCTCAGTTTCCTCAGTACAGGAACAAGCATGATAATACAAGTCCCCTTGTGAAATTCTCGTGAAGGTTCATTGAGGTGACATGGGAGCATGCCAAGAATACACAGTCAGTGCTGTGTAAATATTTGCTATTATTACGTTATTATTTCTACTACATGACATCATGGAAGAGGGTACTTAATGATGGATTCTGAGGAGCAGAAAAATAGATGAACAAAATCTCCATATGCATTTCACTCACTTTGGATCCTTGCCAGTACCTGAAGGCCAAGAATAGACTCCCTAGGCCTGTGCTGTCTGGTGTCAAAGCCACCGGCCCCTGTGGCTGTTGAGTACTTGGAATGCTGCGAGCCTGGGTTGAAATGTACTGGGTCTTGAAGATTTAGCACAGTTAAAAAAAAATGCAAAATAGCTCGTTAATGATTTTGTATATTGGTTGCGTGTTGAAATGATAATATTCTGAATCAATCAGTTTACATTAAATGTTAAAATTGTCATCTGTTTCTTTTTGCTTATTTAATATGGCTACTTGATCACTGAAATTATGTGGCTGGCGTTACATTTCTGTTGAATAGCAGTGCCTTAGGCTCACCATTGTCAGTAAAAGCCAAAGGTGTGGTTTCGTGTGATCAGGTGACCATGACGGGAGAGCCTTGTACACTCCTCCCCTTGCCCTTCAAGTTATACCGGACCATCCATTTTTTAATTGGTCCCGTACAGGGAGTAGTGGCTTGGTGTTAGCAGAAGGGAGTTGAGGGAACGAGGCAAGAGCAATGACTAAGGAGGCATCCCCGGACTTGGAGGGGTTTGGACGAAAACACTACCATTTATAGTTATACTGGCCTGGATGCTCTGCACTCCCTGAAGGAGATGGGGGAATGCTCTCTGCTCAGGAAGTTGAAATATGTGGGCGAAAAACTCCCTACTCCATCAGGAGCCAGAAAAAGCTTTGCTAATCTTTAACTGAAAGAATGAATGCTCAGCATGATGGCAGTCACTGGGATCGAAAGCACACCCTTTCCAAATGTGGTTTACTTACTGAATGTTTGTTTCTTTCTATTTCAGATTCATTCCATCACCTAAAACCCGGTAACAGTGGGCCACGCAGAGTCTTACTGGTGAGTGTGTTTTCATTTTTAAGACAAAGTGACTGTTTAACATTAGTTTTGAAATGATATTCACACTTCTAAGTTAGATGCACCCCTACTGGTACTATGATTAGATGTCTATTTATTCACATTTTTTTTTCCTCTCCAAAATGGTTTACAATGTTTCCATGCCTTAAAAAAAAAAAAAAGATCAATCCATGTTCTTTTGCTAAGAATGTGGTCAGGGAAAAGATCTATGATTACATGCCAAATACTATTAAATTAAAACTTTTTTTTGTAAGAAACTATTTCCAGGCCCCTGTTGATGGTCTGCTTGTTTCTCACAGTATCCAAAACAACAGTGTTACTTTGGCCAAGGAATTTAGACAGTCCCTTGCGGTGTGTTGTAATGAAAACTGGCTCATAGCTGTAACATATTAGCTTCCTGACTGCCCTGTTTTTTTCTCTCATCTCTCTTTAAACCTAAATGTGATTGTTGTGACATACCAGTGCTACAGTGGTAGAAAACTTACTTTAGATAATTCCTAGGAAAGGAATATGCTTTTTAAGTGGAAAAGCTTCTGAGGCCTCATGTGGCACTACTCCCTAATATGTGGCAATGCTGTTATCTGAGGTGTACATCAGTTAGCTTTTGCTGCATAACAAACCTCCCCCAAATTTAGTGACTCAAAATAATGATCATTTCTCTAGCCCATAATCCTGTGGGTTGGCAATTTAAGCTGGACCCAGGTATGTGATGCTTTTGGTTTCGGCTGGAACCATTCATGTGTCTTCAGTCAACTACAGGTCCAGGTTACTGAGGCTGGGGGTCATTTGGCTGTTGGCTGGAGTGATGACAATGCCTAAGACGTGTGTCTCACTGTCCTACAGGCTGCCCTGAGCTTGTTTACAGGGCGCTTGGGCAGGGTACCAAGAGGACAGCAGAAGCATCTTGAGGCCAAGGCTCAGAACTGGCGCAACATTGCTTCCACCACATTCTGTTTAGAGAAAACTCTGTGGCTAGTCTAGATTCTACCTCTTGGTGAGAGGAGCTGCAGAGTCACATTGCAGGGAGGATGGAAACACAGGGGAGAAAAATTGTGGCCACTTTTACAGTCTACCCTACAGTGTTTATGAGTGGCATGAAAACAGCTGTGATCAAATAAAAAGAACCTAGAGAGTGAGAGGGCTCAGATCACGCTCCCATCTCACAGCCCGTCTTCTCACCCCGCTGTAATCAACAGACCCTAGGATCGCAGTCTTGGTCTTTGCCGTATGGCATCTCAGGCAGCTCGGTAGGATCCTGGTCTCCACTCTCCGATACCAGGTCTCCATTGTCCCACCTCCTGTCATTATGCACAGTACAGCCACACCAGTCATCCTTCAGCTTAGCTTCCAGGATGCTCCTCCTTTGCTCCAAGACTGTCAGTGCCTCTGTGTCATCCACACCAGCCTGGACACCTCTCTGGCTTCTCCACTGCCGTTATCTCGCCCCACCCTCTCTCGTTCACCTCCCACTGTCCCTTGTATTCTAGCCAGACTGGCCTATTTACCATTTCTCCCGAGGACACCTCATGCTGCTTACCTCTTCTCCGCTTGGAAATCCCTCCCGTTCTACAGGGCCCAGGAGAATCTTCCCTCCTCTGTGACGTGGCCTTCCCTGCCTGTGATCTTCTCCGCCCTGAATACTTCAAAGCCAGACGCTGTCTTCTGTGATTCACTCTTCTTCCCCTTCGCTAGTCTTCCTTCCTCAGCAGCTCTGTTAGCGCTCTGAGAGTGGGAGGCTCCCCTTGCCTCCCTTGCAGTACTCAGCATGGGACCGAGAGCACAGCCAGGACCTAGTCAGCCCAGAAGCAGCGTGGACCCGGCCCCAGGTCCCCCACCAGCAGCTCCTTGGGATCACACGAGGCACCTGCTGAAATCCAAGCTCACAGTCCCCTCCCTGAGCCGTCCGCATTCATTAGGTGGACCCCAGGATCTTGAAGCACTCAGATGATTCTGATGTTGGCAACCACTTGTGGAAAGAACAAGAAATGTGTATGAGACCTGGGTTTGAGTCCTGGCTCTGCTACTTCTTGGCTCTAGGACCTTACAAACTCGATCTTTCTGAGCTTCAGTTTCCTCTTCTGTGAAATGAAAATAATATTTAACTTGAGGGTTGCCAAGAAGATAAAAAAGGGTAATGTTGTGCAAGTGATTTATAAACTGTAAAATATAATTAAAATATGTAATTGTGGATCTGTGGCTGGCCAGTGTTTTGAAAGGGGCAGTTACCTCCATGGTAGTAGCCATGGTAGTGACAGAGGACTAGACAGTGAGTAATCAAGTAGTGGAAGAAGGATTAGTAATTACAGCAGCTATAGTCATAACTAGTGTTACTGTTTATTCAATATCAACTGTGTGCCTGACACTTCGAACTGCTTTACATGGAATGATTTGAGATTTATAGGAAAAGCCCCTTATTCAGTTGCATCTGTATCATGATTACCGCCTATTCCATCATTAGTGATTCAGTGCTTTGGCTTCTTCCTTTTCATTCCTGAGAGAGGAAATAGTTGGGTGAGCTGCTATCAACCATTGACAAGTTATCAATGTCAAGTACAAGGTCCTGTAGAAGTGTGAGCTGCTTTGATTTGGTGGGAGAAGTGAGAGCAACCAACAGTCCTAGTGAGAGAGTAGGCGTGGGACACGCAGGAGTGGACCAGAGGACACCCAGCTGCCTGAGGACGGAGGGAGAGATCCCCAGGAGGGCTGGGGCGGGGCGATTCTGAGACATTTGCTGACCTGACGGCTATTTCTGGTCCAAGGCCACCACCTTCGCACCCTGCTCATTTAGAACTTCCCCATAAGGGCTACCGCAACAGGCAGCATTTGTAAAAACTCTTCTCCATTCACCATACGATTTGTTGTACAAATCAGTTATTTTGATTGCTGTTGGTTTAGTATACGTGCCTGTCTTCTTTTAAAGATTTTTGAGGTGGCTTTTAAATACATGTATAATAAGATTTAGAAAAATATGGAAGGAAGGAAATTTGGGGGGAAGGAAAAGTGAAGTCAGAGATAAGGTTAGGCCCCCAGTTCTTGGGTGAGAGCCTGTATACCTACCAGCAGATCCCACAGTCCTCCCTCTGAGCTTCTGAGCAATCATTACCGGGAAAACATGCTTAGTTAACAGTTCGCGGTGGCTGGAAGATAAAAGCATGCTAGTTACTCAGAAGAAGCAAGGTTAATTGTGATTCAAGACTTGAAGTAATTTCTCCTGAGTGCTCATGGAGAGGATACCACATAAGGTAGCAAATGATGTCCCGGTAGAAATAGACGCATGAGGACTACCGCTGGTGTCAGCCAGTGATGGGACGGACACCTGAGTGTAGCCCAGGAAGCGCCCTTCCAGTCCAGGAGTGCATTTCTCTGTTGGCCTTGCTAAGTCCAAGGATAAAGTGTCATAGTTTCGCCTGGAATAACAAGTGCATCTATTCATTCCCCCCTGCCCGCCCCGCAACCCTCCCCACCCCCACACGGACCCCACAGACTGTCATGGCTCTCGGTGCTGAGCCTGGGTGCTTGGCTGTGGACCAGATCTGGCACACCAGATGAAATCTACTTACCATCCCTGTTCTTAAAGAATAACAGACAACTTCCTGAAAGTACTCTGTGAATGGTGTTTATCCCAACCCCAAGTCTTGCTGCTCCCTGACTCAGTCTGTGGAGTGGCTTTTTGATATACAGGTTTTACACTGACCTGGTCCTCTGTGACCTGTGCGGCCCACTTCCCTTGCTCCACGTGTATCTCTCCTTCTGTTTTAGGCCCCATGGCTCTAGGTCATTTTAGATACCAGAGAGTGCTCTGACCTTTTGGGGAACCAGGGCAGTGTGAGAGGCTCGTTGGAATAGGAGTGGTAGACTCTGGGTATGTATTGGATGGCAGTGAGCTATAAACCGAGCTACCATTGTCCGCTTCTGGGACTCTCTTCTTCCAGTCAGTATCTTTAGTATTTATTGCAAGAGGTGGTATTTGATTGGTTGCCAGCATTGGTAAGATGAACCATCAGGAGCAGAGGTGGTATGAGAGTAATGTTAAACCCAGACTTTTTGCAGGAATGTCATAGGATGAAAAATTTTTAATTTAGGAAGGATCATTGTTGGAGAAGAGCCCAGAATTCCATGAGGACCGCCCATAAATGGGCATTTCCTTTTGGGCTTGATTTTCATTTAGGTCAGGTTTCTTAGAACGATTTTGGTTGCAAGTAACAGAAATCCAACTTAAACTAGCGTCTTGACTTACACTGGCATAGCCTTCAGGCATAGGTGCATCCAGGGATTCAAAGAATATCAGCAGGCCATTATCCTTCACTCTCTCTGTTTCTTGACTTTGCTTAACTCTGCCAGCTTCATTCTCAGGCAAGCTCCCCCTCACCATGACGCAGAGGTAGCCATCAGCATTATAGTTCCATCGTCTTCACAGCTGCGGATCCCAGCGAAAAGAGAGTGTCTCTTTTGCCATAGTTCTAGCAATTGCACCAAGGAGGGATCTTGACTGGCCCAGGTCGGACTCCTTGGCTAAATCAACCCGGCCGGAAGTGTGCAGCAGGCCACAGGCACTACCTGTTTGGTCAGGGCTTGTTCATGTGTTCCTTGAGAGAAGGTGAATCCCACCAGAATCGCGTGGTAGGGGCCCTAGGCAAAAAGGAGGAATTCTGTTACCAGAAGAAGAAAGGAAGAGAAGGAGCATTCCAAGCAAATACAGTTTCTAGGTACTAGAGTGCACTGATTTAGAAATTCCTACTTTGGGGTCTATTAAACTTGAAAGGCTTAAAATTAGATTCAGCTTCAGTTACACTGAGTACCTAGTCCAAGTTTGGTGTCATGATTGAGCCTACGGAGAGGAGGGAGGGTGGGCGACCCCACTGTGGGGTCAGGTGGGCAGCTTTTGGCCTGAGGACCCCCAGTCTGGATGATAGACCTGAAGATGATGAGTGGGCCTCAATGGACCTGTAATCCATTGAGTGAATCAGTGAATGAGCTTCTAT